AAAAAGCCGGAAGTGGCGCTGTGGCTCAAGTGGTAGAGCGCTAGCCTTGAGCTGAAGAGCTGAGGGACAGCACCCAGGCCCTGAGTACAGGCCCCACAACTGGACCCAAAAAAAAAAAAAAAAGAACCTAAGAACCAGTGCTTCAGGGATTTGTTGAAAAGTACAATGGAGGCCTTTCAGCATAGGAGGCCGGGGCAAGACTGCATGTGCATATGGATGTTTCTCCTTGGAAGTATCTCCCTTTTGGGGAGCAGGGGATAGTCAGGAGGACCTTTCACTCCCAGCTCTGGCCTGGGATGGGTAATGAGTTCTGTAAGATGTCTGTCTCATCTTCCATCCCACAGTTCTTTTTTCTTGCCATGATAGATAAAGAATTTTCTTCCTCTAGGCTGTCTGGTGCGGGCCGAGAGGTTCCAGCTAATCATAGAGAGGGATGTCAGGAGCAACTTCCCTTCCTGGAAGGAACTGGATATGGCAGGCTTCATCCAGAACCAGCAGGCCAGGTAGGCTCCTTGCGGTACTGGCTGTCTCCTTGAATCTGTGGGGACGGAAAGGCCTTACAGAGGTGGGGAAATACAAGGCCCCAGGTCACATGGTGCCTGCATCCCTAAGAGATTTGTTCTTGTTTCTCTCACCAGAGTCTATGTCCAGCTCTTTCTGGATGATGCCCTGATCCTGACTGTGCCCAGACCCACTGTTCATTCACCTACTCCCTCAGCACCTCCTCACAAAGAGCCCCTTTGCCCAGAGGGATCCCACATAAGGCAGAGCCGGCTATTCTTGCTGTCCCACAAGGAAACCCTCATGAAGCGGAATTTTTGTGTCCCACAAGAAACCAGTTCAGAGGTGCCCAAACCTACCCTCAGTTTCCATGTGTCAGGAAGCTGGCTGGGGGGCACTCAGAGGAACGAGGGCAATCGATGGGGCCCCCCTGATGCTCTGAGAGATGAGAACAAGGAACAGAAGGTAAACTAGAACTCTAGGAACCTTGAACCCGACCTCCCATGCCTAGAGTTCTGGGCTAGGACCCAGCACCCTACTGTCCTTCCTCACAGATTCTTCTCATCTTCCTCGGCTCTTCAGTCCGCTGGTTTGAATTCTTACACCCGGGGCAAGCATACCGACTCGTGGCTCCTAGTGCCTCTGTGAGTGCCCTCCCTCAGCCTGCCCTTCCCCACAAAGCTGTGTTTGGGTTGGAGTTGGAGGGGGCATGCCAGTGCTGATTTCCCTGAGAGATTTATCTGAGCTAGAAGCCTGTGTGGAGAGCCCTTCCTTCTCTGAGCTCCAGGGAAATGAAGTTTTGTGAGCCTCTCTCTGGCCCAGGTACACTCTGAAGCAGTCATCCCATTTCTGACCAGACACCAGCATTTGAAGCTGAGGGCTCATCCTGCATGTCTCAGCGTCCTCTGGAGTTGGCTGGTTGTGTGTCCTGCCTCACTGTACAAGATGAGTGGACTCTAGAGCTTGAGAGCTCCCAGAACATGTTGCTGCCTGAGTCCTCGCTCACCCACCTGTTCAGTGACAAGTAAATGTCCTCTAGCTCCTCTGATTAATTTGGTCATGCTCTCTTCCCCTGCTCTGCCAGGTTTGGTGAACAGTCTCTGCTACAGTATGTTTCTTTAATGTGATTTTGCTGGTGTAGGAATGAGGTCAGTGCAAGAGGGAAGTTGTGTTGTGTGCTGAGTTCTCCTAGCACATTGCCACTGGAAATGGTCACAGCAGGCATTCTCACAATTAAGGAGAAGCGTTAGTAAAAGGGAAGTAGAGAAGCATAAGAACACATAAGATAGGGGCTGGGAAGGTGGCTCAGTGGTAGAGTGCTTGCCTTGCATGCACAGGCCCTGGGTTCGATTCCTCAGCGCCACATAAGAAAAAGAAAAAAGCCGGAAGTGGCGCTGTGGCTCAAGTGGTAGAGCGCTAGCCTTGAGCTGAAGAGCTGAGGGACAGCGCCCAGGCCCAGAGTTCAGGCCCCACGACCGGACCCAAAAAAAAAAAACAAAAACATAAGATATAGCTGGCTGATGGCTGTGGGAACAATAATATTCCTCATGTAAGCTTTTTGGGGTGATTGCAAATACAAATTTTAAAAGATGTAGAGATGTTTACTCCATGAAACAGTACTATTGAATTGTCTATAATTTTATGAAATGGATCTTTATTACAAAGGAAGTGGGTTTTTTGTTTTTGTTTTTGTTTTTTTGTGGGTCATGGGGCTTGAACTCGGCTTGGGGGCTATCTCTTCGCTCTTCAGCTGAAGGTGAGCACTCTACTACTTGAGCCACAGCACCACTTCCAGTTTTCTGAGATAAGAGTCTCATGGACTTTCCTGCCAGGCTGGCTTTGAACTGTGATCCTCAGATCTCAGCCTCTTGAGTAGCTAAGATTACAGGCATGAGCCACCAGTGACCCCATCAGAAAGAAAGTATTTTTTTGCCAGGCACTGTGGCTGATGCTTGTAATCCTAGGTGCTCTGGAGGCTGAGATTTGAGGATTATGGTTCAAAGCCAGCCTGGACAGAAAAGTCCCAGTGAGAGTCTTATCTCCAATTAGCCACTCAAAAACCAGAAGTAGTGCTGTGGTTCAAGTGGTAGAGTGCTAGCCTTGAGCAAAAAGAGGCTCAGGGATAGCACCCAGGCCCTGAATTCAAGACCCACAACCAACAACAAAAACAAAAGTGTTTTCAAGAACCTATGGTGGGTTTTTGGGTTTTTATTTTGTTTTGTTTTCTCAGTCATGGGGCTTGAAGTCTGGGCCTGGGCCTGAGCTCTTTAGCTCAAGGCGAGCACTCTACCACTTGAGGCACAGCACCACTTCCAGTTTTCTGATGGTTAATTGGAGATAAGAGTCTCATGGACTTACTTGCCTGGGCTGGCTTTGAACAGTGATCCTAGATCTCAGCCTCTTGAGTAGTTAAGATTACACGTATGAACCAATGGCACCCATGGTAAGAATCTATGTTTTGAGGGTACCTGAGTGCCAAGACAGGAGGCTGCAAGAGATGGAGCAACTGTGGCTCTTAGTACAAGTACAGATATGCAAGCCTCTGGTGGGCCTCTGCTTCTACACTGTTGTAGACTTTTACATCATATAATACCATTTTCTTTTTCTTTTCTTTTGGTGCCAGTCCTGAGGCTCTTTTTTTGCTCAAGACCAGCTCTCTACCACTTAAGCCATAGCTCCACCTCCAGCAAACTTTCCTGCCAGTGGCTTCAAACCAGTATCCTTAGATCCCAACCTCCTGAGTAGCTAGTCATGAGCCACCAGCACCTGGCTAACACCTTGTTATTTTTAACAAGGAGTTTCTAGATTTTCTAGGACTTTATATGTGATATTCTAGCAGACAGACACTGTGGCTTCCTTTTTGACCTTTGAGCTGACCCTCTCCATTTTATACACTGTGTTCTTAATGTATTTCTCTTATCTTTCAGGTTCATCAATACCTTGGTGTCTTTCTCAGCTGAGATTCTGTCACGGACACCTTGTGAATCCCCTCTGGCTCCCGTCTGGATGATGAGTGGTAATGACCCCTTATTCAGGGGGGAAGGTATGACACTGAATGAATGATAGGATCTTGTGGTCTTGGTGGATCCCACTAGCTGCCCTCCCCTCCATCTGTAGGGAACAAAGAGGCCATAAGAAGGTGTGTGAAGTTAACGGTAGCTTTACAGACTGCTGACTGTGAATTTCCCCCTCGCCTGGACATATATATTGAAGACCCACACTTGCCTCCCCCGCTAGGACTCCTTCCAGGAGCCCAAGTCCACTTTAGCCAGCTGGAAAAAAGGGTTTCCAGGTGAAGACCTACCCTGTGTCGGCTATACTGCTGTTCTTTAGTGATGGTTTCTTTTGAACACTCACCCCCACTCTGCTGAGAGAGCACCCTTCTCTGCTGTTACGTTTGACATGTCAGTCTGCCATTTGTGCCTTCTACCCTCCTGAGGTGTGGCAAACCAGTCCTCCTCTCCTCATTCTACCCTTTGCTTTGCTAAAGCCAGACCCAGTATGGCACTGGGGCTGGAGGAGTGAGCCACGCCTGTCAGTCATGACTTCTAATGGTCAGCTCCTGCTCCAATCTGACTGCTTTTCCTTCCTCATCTCTATTCCACTTGCAGATCCAACAATGTTTACTGTTGCGTCCGATCATCCACCTATATTCAGGTCCTGAGTTTTCCATCAGAAGCCACAATCAGGTCAGTGTATACGACCTAGTCCCTACACTATGCAGCCTTACACCCATATCCCTTCCATGTCCCTTACTGGAAATTTGCCATTAACTACAATCTTCTGCGATCCCACTGAGAGTCTGCATTTCCTCTGGCCCAAATAAAAACCACTAGCTTGGCACTAGTGGCTCATGCCTAGCTGCTCAAAAGGTTGAAGATTGTGCTTTGAAGCCAACTTGGACAGGACTGTCCATGAGATTTTTCTAATTAACTACCAAAAAGTCATAAGTGGAGCTGTGGATCAAGTGATAGAGTGTTAGTCTTGAGCAAAAAAACTCAGGAACCAGTGCCCAGGCCCTGAGTTCAAGCCCCAGGACTGCCACCCAAGAAGAATGAAAGACTGAGAATGTGGCTTAGTGGTAGAGTCCTTGCCTAGCATTCATGAAGCCCTGAGTTTCATTCCTCAGTACCACATAAACAGAAAAAGCAGGAAGTAGGCTATGGTTCAAGTGGTAGAATGCTACCTTGAGCACAAGAAGCTCAGGGACAGTGCTCAGGCCCTGCGTTCAAGCCAAGAAGGTTGGGGGAGAGGGGCGGCGGGGAGAGGGGGAGAAACTTTCTGGATAATATGACATGAATTATAGGCAAGCACTTTTTTTTTTTTTTGCCAGTCCTAGGCTTGAACTCAGGACCTGGGCACTGTCCCTGAGCTTCTTTTGTTCAAGGCTAGCACTCTACCACTTGAGCCACAGCACCACTTTCAGCTTTTTCTGTTTATGTGGTACTGAGGAATCAAACCCAGGCCCTCATGAATGCTAGGGGCAAGCACGCTACCAATTACTACACTACATTCCCAGCCTCTCCAGAAAGTTTTTAGTCAGTTATTTCCCATACATAGCTAGTGTTCTAGGTTCTTATTTATTTATATTATACGTTTATTGTGCTGATATCGGAGCTTAACCGCACAGCTTCGCTCGCTTTATTTCTTTCAGGACGCACTCTACCACTTGAGCCATACTCCAGTCCTATATTTTTCTGGTTAATTGGACATGGAGTCTCATGGATAGAAGGACTTTTCTGCTCAGGCTTGCTTCAAACTGCAATCCTTAGGTCTCAGCCTCCTGATTAGCTGGGATTAGAAGGTGGGTTTTGCCTGGCTAGGTTCTTTTTTTAGTTTAATGAGTTTTTGGCTTTGTCCTTTTTTTTTTTTTTTTTTTTGGGTCCGGTCGTGGGGTCTTGAACTCTGGGCCTGGGCGCTGTCCCTCAGCTCTTCAGCTCAAGGCTAGTGCTCTACCACTTGAGCCACAGTGCCACTTCCGGCTTTTTTCTTTTTGCTTATGTGGTGCTGAGGAATCGAACCCAGGGCCTCAGGCATGCAAGGCAAGCGCTCTACCACTGAGCCACCTTCCAGGCCCTTGGCTTTTTCTTTGGTGTAACTGGACCTCCTACTATCTAGGCAGGTGCCCTATTGCCTGAGCCAATCTTAAGCCCCATTCTAGACTCTTGAAGGATTTTTAGTCCAAAAATGCAAATACCTCTTTCTTGATTTATGTCCCGGTGTTCAAGCCTGAAAAATAACTGATGACTGCTAAAGACAGAAAAGCAGAACAGAGGCAAGGGAAAGGCCATGAGACTTCCAAGAGAGCCAGGATTCACTGCTGTTCTCATTTCAGACCTGCTGAGTTCTCTTATACTCACCCTGCTTTCGGGATCCCTGTGCCTATTCTTGTTTTTTTGAGACTAAACTATTACTTCCAGGATGACTTTTAACTCAAGATCCTCCTGAGTTGGCCTCCTAAGAATTAAGAATTACCACGTTTGCATCTTGACCCATCTCTCTTTCTTTTTCCTTAGTGCTCCCCTACCCCACATCTATCTGGCTGAACTTCTGAGGGGTGGCCCAGCCCCATTCCAAGCCATTGCTTCTTGCCATGTGGTTTTTATCATCAGCCTTCAGCTCCTGTGGGTGTGTGCTCATTGTACCAGTGTCTGCCTCCAGGTATTGTTCACCAGATGTAGCATGCCCAACAGATATCATGGGACCCAAAGGACTTCTCTAAGCACTCTTTCCATCCTAGGGAAGGTGCAGTGGGCAAGATGTTGCCTGCCCCACGCAGGCATCTGTCAGCCAGGCCAGTATCAGGTAGGTTACCCATTAAACCGTTTTACTTGTTGAGCATCTAAATCTGTCTGTATTGACATAAATCCTGGCTCATGGAAATGTCTTGATATTTTATGAACGAATGTAAAGTGAGCTAAAGACTGAAAATCATGGGGAGGGAGGAGGCTTGCCTGTTGAGTCCAGAAGATTGGCTGCTTGAATTTGCTGTGGGAGTGTTCTCTCCTTCTTCTTTCTGCTAGGCTCCTGGTAGAGGATGGGACTGCTGAAGCCATAGTGACCTGCAGGAATCATCATGTGGCAGAAGCACTCGGGCTGGGTCCTAGTGAGTGGACCTCCCTCCTAGAGTCTGTCCGAGAGCCAGGGAGAGTGGCTTTGCAATTTACAGGCCCAGGAGCGCAACTGGAGGTGAGATGTGCCTGGGAGGCTGGGGCTCACACTCCCAGGTCCCTGGGGCTTTGGCTGAAGGCTGGGAGATAGGTTCCAATAAATGCCGAGTTTCCCTTTCTAGTCTTCAGCCTCCATCCATGAGCCCTTGACCCTCTTCCTCCGGACACTTTGCACCAGCCCCTCCGTCCTCCGCTCCATTGTGCTTTCATTTGAGCTTGAGAAGAAACCCTCTAATATCACTCCACTAGGTAAATGTAGTGCAGGTAGATGGGCCCCAGGGAGGGAAAGGGATGAGGGATTAGTATGGAAATTGCTGCAGTTGAGGAGAAGAGTGGATGAGGACTAAAAACTATGAATGGTTCGTCTGGGTGTCTTTTGTTGTTGTTTTTCTTTTCATTTTAGAATCTTCCCGGCTACAGCGGTTCCAATGTGGAGAGCTCCCGCTCCTGACTCGGGTGAATCCCAGGCTCCAACTAGTCTGCCTTTCTATCCAGGAGCCAGAGCACCCCAGTTTTCTGGGGGCCTTCACTTCTTCCTGAACTTCAAATGGCCTCAAAGTGCTTCCTGCCTTACTGAAAATCTTGTGGCCTGGATTCTGGCTCTTTCTCCCATGTTGTGGCCTCTTGTTTCTTTACAATGGACCCCAGATCCGTGGATTCACAAACTGCTATCTCACCGTAGTTTTTAATTATGGTGCCAGCCTGACTTGGGGACGTAGTTGTTTCTACATTTTTTCCTCTGGTTGGGGGGTCAAGGTACCTGCACTCACAGATGACCCTGTACACCTGGATTTTGCCTTGTGGCAGGAGTTAGAACAACGAAAGACTTGTCTCTTGTGAGGGTGCTGGTGCCAGGCCCTTTGGCCTACAATAGAGCTCTTCTGGGACATTTATCATCTATGCTCATCTCTGGTCAATGCCTCCCTGGTAGCTAACCTGTCATTCATAATTTCAGCCCTTCCCTTTTTTACTCCAACTGCAAGAGCTGGTCCTGCAGAGAAATGGTACCAAACTCAGAGCTTAAGGGGAGCAAATGAGGGAGTGGGGACAGGATAAAGAACATGACTGGTTGTCTCAGGAAGGCTGGGCACGTGTGTGAGAGAGAGAGAGAAAGAGTGTGAAAGTGAGAGTGAAAGAGAGTCATAAGAGAGCGTAAAGGTGTTGGGAAATGTAGGATCGGTGTGGGGAGGAAGTGCCAAGCCCCAGGAAGAGTATGTGAGGAGGTTGGGAGCCTGTAACAGAGGACCAAGGAGTTAGCATTGTAGGTTAGTAGGTACTAACCTCCTTACACTGAGACCCGCAGAAAGTCTGCTTTCTAAACCTACATGATTATGGGGTGCAGGAGCAGTTATTACTCATTTCTTCCCTGCAATGTGGAACCAAACTACATCTCTTAAGAATTGCTGAAATGGCACTTAGGAATTGACTTGGATATCTGTTAGGTGGTCAGCACGTGTGTAGCCGGCATATGTGTAGCAGAGTGCTTTTTCTTAAAAAACACTATATGGAAAGATAAAAACAATCTTAAGCAACTGGCCGGTTAGCTCAGTTGGTTAGAGCGTGGTGCTAATAACGCCAAGGTCGCGGGTTCGATCCCCGTACGGGCCAGATGGTCTTTTTTTTTTTCTTTGGCCCCGCCTCAGTTCTTTTACGCGACCACTGGGAGATCCTTCTTCACGCACGCGTCGACTACTGGTTTCAAGCACCGTTGCTGAAAACCAGGACGGGAGCGTAAAGGGGCGGGGACGCCGAGAGCCCTGCGGCCCGCCCCGAACCCTGCCCTTTCTCCCGAAGGCTGATCGGAAATGGAAACCTTCCGCCAGGAGGGTTTCAGTCTGAAGCCAGGGGTTCATTCTGCCCCTGGCTGGCAGTCGTGCTCTTAGTCTTGTCCCCGAAAGCCTGGGAGTAAGGAGGCTGGCCGCGAGCGCATTGCTATTGCTGGCGGAAGGGCCTGGGAACTAAGAAAGACTCAGGATATAACCCTAAGACAGAAGTGTGTAGTCGTGGCCGAGTGGTTAAGGCGATGGACTAGAAATCCATTGGGGTCTCCCCGCGCAGGTTCGAATCCTGCCGACTACGAAGAATTATTTTTCCGGAAGCTCTCCGGATTCTCAATCATGTGCTTCCGGCCGGGCCCGAAGGCTCTCAACAATCAGTCCCACCAGCACACCCTCGCTTGAGAAGTTCGTCCACCAGCTCAGGTTTTGAGGGCGCCCTGTAGCCTCCAAAGTGGTATATTTCTCTAGTGCATTCGAGAAGAACACCCGCCCCGGGCAGGCGCCGTGGCTTAGTTGGTTAAAGCGCCTGTCTAGTAAACAGGAGATCCTGGGTTCGAATCCCAGCGGTGCCTTGGGTCTTGTTCGCTTGTATTTTGTGGTTTATTGTTTGGTCTCTTGTACCCCTGTCGGTGGCTCTCCGATGGTTTCCGCTCTGACCAAGCAGGTGTTCTGGGCCCTGGCCTGTCTCAGCTGGCTGGCCATCTTGCCCAGGTGAATGCCAAAACCCACGCTCACGCGTGGCGCACCTGGTAGCCCACCTGCATCCCAAGGCTCTTCCCCAAGAAACCAAAAACTCTAATAAAGATCCGGAATTTCAAATATCACAAACATGAACCTCGTGGCGGTCAGAGGCCGTCTGATTCCTCCGCAGTGACACTGAGCATGCTCACAAGCTCCCACGGGTAACGTCCTTAAAAGACCTTAGCATCCTTGCAAGGAACCCCCACACACACACACACTCCGTGGTCAGCGCGGGCCAGGCCTCGCGCCGGTGGCGCTCCGTCCTCCAGGCCAAGTTCTGGCAGCCCCGGCTGGGATACCACTGCCTGTCCCCAACTCCATGTCGGCCTCCTCCAGAAGGTTCCCCCTGGACACCCCGCGGTCCCGTGGGGGAGAAAGCCTCCTCCACGGCGTCCCAGGAGACCCATGGATCCCCAGATCTGCTGGCCACCTGGACCTCTACGGAGCCGAGTGGCTCTGTAATCAGGGCCACTTCGTGCTCTGTTTTTCACCTAGTCCAGAAAATCCTCCACCCCTACTACTCAAGATGAGCTCTGCTGCCTGTAGCTGCTGGTCTGTTGGCTAGACTGGGAACTTGGCTGTAAGATCTAGGGGGTGGGGGGCAGGCAGAGGGGTGGAGGGACAATTAGTGGGAAGCTGGTGTCCATATCTGCTTTGTTGACCATAGCTACTCTGCTGTCTATAGCTGCTTCGCTGCCGGTAGGTGTTCTGTTGAAAGTAACTGCTCTGTCTGTTGTGTAGAGGGACAGCTGGTAGGAGGATAAGATGGTAAGATGGAGGTGCTCTGACTGGTTGCATGGGGTAGCTCTCAGGAACCTGTGGATAATTCTACTTTGTCTATAGCCTAGACTGGGCTGATTATCAGCCTCTGTTCTAGATGGAGGTTGACTAGTCTTGGCTGGCTGCTGCCCATGGGCTGGGACAGCAGGCTCAATGCCATATGCAGGTTGAGTTGCATAGGAGACCTGGGTGTGGTGACTAGAGCAATCATGGTGTTACAACCACAAGTGCCAGGCTGACCATAAATAGTTGCATTCTGGCTGGGTGCTGGTGGCTCACACCTCTAATCCTAGCTACTCAGGAGGCTGAGATTTGAGGATCACAATTCAAAGCCAGCCTGGATGGGAAAGTCCAATAAACCACTCAGAAAGCTGGACATGGTGCTGTGGCTTAAGTGGTAGAGCACTAGCCTTGAGCTGAAGAGCTCAGGGACAGCACCCAGGCCCAGAGTTCAAGCCCCATGACTGACCAAAGTAAATAAATAAAGTTGTATATGACTTCTGCCCATAAGCGGCAGGGGTCTGAGCCTGGGTATAGCTGACATCAGTAGGTTGTCCATAGGTTCCATAGCTTTGGTGCCTATATTCCTGGGCATATCCTTGAGTTGGCTGCGCAGTGGGTGTAAGCACTGCTTGGCTATAGGTACTGTAATCCGTGGATGCCATTTTCTCTCCTTCCTCTTCATTCTTTCAATGTCTAACCCCTCTCCCTTTCCCTCTAAGCGTCCACAATTTTATTTTGGTTGAGTCCATTATATCTCTTGTGGCTTGGGGGGGTCTCATACTTTTATGCTATCTATGTATTATATAGGACATATGATTTAAAAAATTGCTGTGAGATTTTATTTGTTGTTGTTTTTTGTCGATTCTTCAACTCAAGGCCATCACTCTATCACTTGAGCCACAACGCCACTTCCAGCTTTATTCTGCTTATGTGGTACTGAGGAATGGAATCCAGGGCCTCATGTATGCAAGGCAAGCACTCTACCACTGAGCCACCTTCCCAGCCCTACTGTGGGATTTTAGGGTCAGTACTTTAGCAAGCCTTTCATGGGTTCTTAACCTCAATCCTTCCCTAGACTCTGATGGCATGGCTATGTGGAGAGCGCTCCTATCATGTGAATAAGACAGATCTGGAAAGGCAGACTCCTAGAGTCCTGCGGCTGGATTTTAGAAGTAAATGCTAGAAAGACCAGGCTGGGCCTCTGAGCTGTTGTCACCTACTAAAACTGTTTGAAAACAACATAGTCTAGACACCAGCATTGGTCCACTGTGAGATATCTGAGTAAAAGCCTGAGCTTAAAGGAATTGCTGTCCCCAGGGCAGCCAGTAAAGCAACGAAGCCCAGTCCGCCACACCATGTTTTGGCTGGTGACTCCCTGGATGCTGTGCATAAGTAATTCATTGATGGGACATGGAGTATGAAAAGGAAAACTTTCAGAAAGCTAGGACTCTCCTTCCTGAAAGTGCACAAAGTGGAGGATGCCATTACTCCAAATTCACCTGTTTATTTCCAACATCTTTCATCAAATGTGACTGCCCAAAGGTAAACTTTACCACAAAATCTTTCTGTGCAAGGAGCTTTGGCTTCTGTTAAAGTGTGAACTATTTCCACCAAAGTGGAAAAAATGATCCAATGTTTTACACCTTAGTTTCTAGATTCTGAAAGTGAAGTCCATGGATGTGCCTGGCTTTGGGGCAGCTATGAACACCCAGTATTGTGTGCATTTTCCTAGGAGGATGGGCTTTTGTTGATCTGAAACTGTTTAGGCCTTCCTTTCTGCATATGTTGAGTGGCCTAGTCTAGGTACAAAAAATGGCAAGGACTTGCATGCATGAGGCCCTGGGTTTGATTCCTTAGCACCACATAAGCAGAAAAAGCCAGAAGTGGCACTGTGGCTCAAGTGGTAGAGCTCTCGCCTTGAGCTGAAGAGCTGAGGGACAGCATCCAGGCTGAGTTCAGGCCCCATGACCAACAAAAAAAGAAAGAAAGAGAAAGAAAGACAGGAAGGAAGGAAGGAAGGAAGGAAGGAAGGAAGGAAGGAAGGAAGGAAGGAAGGGAGGAAGGAAAAGAAATAAAAGAAAGGAAAGAAAAAAAGAAAGAGAAAGAAAGAAAGAAAGAAAGAAAGAAAGAAAGAAAGAAAGAAAGAAAGAAAGAAAGAAAGAAAGAGCAGGCAGGCAAGGAATGCTAGGGCCCGAAAGGAGTGGGGGCAGGAATTGGAAAGGATTTCAGGAAGGAGGTGCTAACCTCCTTCTAGAAAGGTTCTATTAGAAAGATTTGCTGTTTCTCCTGGGAAAAGCTGGGATGACTTCTGTCTCTCTACTGTCTGCTACCTGGAAAAAAAAAATCTAATAACTTAAACCTCTTACTGAAGTTCTCCCCCACCCAAGTACTCATGAGTGACACCTTAGAAATGACCTGGCCTCACAAATCACAGAACTGGCATATGGAATAAGATGGTCAACTCAGGCTGAGTCCAGGGAGGCTGCAGGCTGTGGGACAGGCACTAAGTTATAAAAGACCCCACACATCTTTCAGGGGCTCTTGGCAAAGAAGAGAATAGTGAACATATACACAGTGTAAACAGTGAAC